CCGTCCCCACCCTCCTCCGCCTAGAGGATACTCCGGCTTCAGCGCTTTGCCATTCATCAACCGGTTCACACCGGCGGCGGCCGCCGCGCGGTGACGTCCGAGGGGGACGGGCCTCCGCCCCCGCTCGTCGGTGATGGTGCTCCGAGCTCCGGCCCGTGATTGGTGTCCTAGAGTTCGCACGTTGCGCCGGGTATAAAAACGAGGACTTGTGACGCAAGGGCGCCTCGGCGCGTGTATTGGCTCCTTTTGCTGCGGGCCGGCTAGGCGACGCGCTCTCTTCGGAGCCGCTCACTGCATGGTAGAACCTGGTGCCCCCGCCGCCGCCTGCACCGTTGCCGCCGCTTCCCCGCGACGACCACCGCCGCCCCCTGCCCTGCAGCCACTGCCGCCCCCTGTGTCGCCGCCGCCTCGGGACCGGCTGTATGATTAGGCCACAATCTTCAATGAGTAAACATATTCCTGTGAGTAGTCGTCGCACCCTCGCCCCTCGGGCCGGGAATCCGCGGCCGGCCCCCCCATCCCCGCCGTCGCCTTTGTTCGGAGACGGGAGACGGGTGTCCGCTCCCCGCCGCCCCGGCCCGCTGTTCCGTTGGACCCCGGGCGGTAGCGGACCAGGCTGCGGCCCTGTGGCCGGTCAGTCGCAGCTGGGTGCGGGGAGGCGGACGCGAGAGTCCGCAGCGGCGGTTGGCCGCTGGAGGCACCGGCTTCCACGTCCCTGCCGGGCCTGGGGCGGCGAGGGTAGTGCAGCCGGTCTGCGCGGCGGGCGGGGGCGGTTTCGGCTGCCGCAGCAGGCCGGGCGGGGCGGCACAAAAGCCGCTTTGTGACCGCCGCCTCTGCTCTTGGACCTCCGGCCCGGCGCGCCCCGTCCGGGCCCGGCGGGCTTTGCGGCGTCCCGGGGCCCCTTTGTTCGACCGAAGAAGGGCGGCCCGCCCGGGGAGCGGGAGACGTGGCCCGGGGTGGGGCGAGGGCTGCGCGTGTCACTGCGGAGCCGGATACGGGGAGGGCGCGGCGGCGGGGTCGCCACCGGACCCGGGTCGGCGTGGGGTAGGCGGGGCAGCCCGGCGCAGCTGGTAACGGTCTCGGCCCGGAGCTCTCCGAGCCCGGGGCCGGGGCGGGACAGGACCTTGGTGTGGTTATCCCTGTGCTCCGTGGCCGAGCCCGGCGCCTCAAACAAAATGGCTTCGGCGCCCGCGCCTGACTGAAGGCGCGGCGCGAACCCGTGATTGCGGCGCGGAGAAGGGGGCGCCTCGGGCGGGCCCGGGCGCGCACCGCCGCGTGCGCGGAGCTGCGACCATCGGGGGGCAATCCGCGAGCTGCTGCCTTGCCCGGGCTGGAGCCAGGCTCTGCTAGGTGAGGACCCGTACTCCCTGCCCCGCCCTCCTTCCTAAGTCTCCACCTGGTAATTCGAGCTGTTCCGGATTTAACGCCCCACCTCGGGCTCTGGATAATGGGAACAAGTCGAGTCTTGTCCTGTCTCTGGGGCTAGTCGCTCGAGAAATGGCCCGAGTCTAAGCGCCTTGGAAACTGCCAGAGCTACGGTTACACCGAATCAAAGGAGTCTACGCCGGTTACCGGCATGCGGTTTCCCTGCTTATCTTGGAAGGGCCCTGGGTGGCACGTTTTAATCGGGGACTATTTAGGACTGTTCGTGAAATCTTTGGTGTAACGTGTGTTTCATCTTGTTGGCTTATGGCAACAGTAGTCAGCAAGAATTCTGAGGTTTTATCTATGTCCATGGAAGCCTCTACCATTCCAAGAGGATTTATTTATACTGTATTGGGAACTGTCGACTTGCTTAGAATCCAGATTCTGAAGCAGTGCTTCTTGTTACTCTTATGTGTGTTTTGTAGGATAGCAGTAAATCAGTTGAAAACCGGAAAGCTAGATCATTCCCAAGAGTGAGCATTTTACACATGCGTTATTTTAGATGCATTACCTAAGACGTAAGTACATGTGGAATGGGCTCTAATGAATTACTTGACAAAACAGTTATACAGGTTATTAGTTGGGCTCTGCAGTCTGACTGATTTCAGCTTCCCCGTTACTTCTCATGTATGTGATTATGATTTTATGAAACGTGTATGTGGGAGAGGGAAAAAAAAATCCCTTGGTGTTTCTGAACTGCGTGTCAGGAGTAAATCAGGAATGGGAACGTCTTGGGCAGAACTGAAAGGTGTTAGTAGTCACTGCTGCTTTGGTAGAAGTCCCCCCAGCCACTGGGTGGCTCCACTCAGCCCTTAACAACTTTACCATTGTCTTTAATTCATTGTATGTCGTTGGAAAAGTGCCAGAATACACATATTATTCTAAGGAAGTAATACTTAGGATTTGAGTTGAGGTACTACAGTCACTATTCACTGTAGAAGTGATGTCCTTAATAGTACTATGAACAATACTTTTTTAATCCATCTGTGAAGTACCAATCTCTGAAGGCTCATTTGAACAAATTTGGAATAATGAAAGTTAACTTCCTTATAGCATCTTGTAATAAATGAATCCTAATGCTAGTTGTTTGTTTTTCCAGAAAAATAAATTGAGGTTTTTGACTTGATATTTTTTAATACCTGATAGATCTCTCCATATGGATTGTTCAAAATTTGGTGAAGTTCTTCTATAGACTGTAACTAGCATGGGGCTTTAAATGTGTAAAATGAAACGGGAGCAGATTGATTAAGTTTTATGTTAAGCCTCAAATGTTTAAACATGGAAAACTAGTGGAACTTTTTTTTTTTTTTTATTGTAAGATTTTATTTTGTTTGGTAGTTTTCCTGTGTGAGCGGTGGCTGGCGCTTAGCACTCTGCTATTAATATTTCTCTTAGGTTTCCTCTTTGGAAACCCTGGTGGCGTAGTGGTTAGGAGCTAGCTAGGGCTTCTAACCAAAAGGTTGGCAGTTCAAATCCCCCAGCTGCTCCTTGGAAACCCTGTGGGGCAGTTCTGCTCTGTCCTGTACACAAGTACCTTATAAACTACTTGGAAGAAAATTAACATTGATGCCTTTCTTGTACATATGCTGGAAAATATGCTTGTAATAAAACTGGTTTAGTTCTTTAAGGAGAACTTAGGAAAAACAAATACAATATACATTTACTTATTGATGGTAGTAGTTACCTTACTTCTGAGACTTGAAGTATAGGATAAATTTCACTCCCCACTTGCCCCACTCCATTTCTTCTCTAAATTAGATTTCCAATTCAGCCTGAATAAATAAAATTTTTGATTTTAAAATACAAGAGAATATCATTAATATTATATTTTTATAGTTTGTAAGTGAGAAATCCATCTTAAATTTATAAGCACACATTCTCTTCACATAGCAAGTTGTTTAGCTTCCAGAGACTTGTCGTTTTCCTCCTCTGTTAAAACGATAATGGGTTGTTGAGAATCAAATGAAATAATGTATATGGAAGCACTTTGAAAACCAGTTTTTTAAATTCTCTTAAGAAAAAAAGGACATATTGGTTAAGTGTAGTTTGTTGTTAGCTGCCATCAAGTCAGCCCCCAGCTCATGGCAACCCAGGGCTCTGTAGACTTTTCTTGCCCCACCTTTCCTCTGCAGAGCCACTGGGTGGGTTTAAAAAGGAAGAAGTGATAGAAAGCACAAAAGGAAAATGTAGAAGTGACTTCGTAATTTAACTTTTAAAGAGCGCAATTTAAAAGGTAATCATTAAGATAAAACATAATTACACAAGGTAGTTTTAATTATTTTTGCAGAAAGATTATATGCAAGAACTAACAGTTTCAGTGTGTTCTTGAAGTTTGTAATGTATAAAAATGTTTTATTAGTTGGAAAAAGTCAATGTAGAAAGTTGCACATATATTTCATAACAATGGTAAAGCAAATAACTATTAAAAGAGGAATGATTAACAGAAGAATATCTGTGTGTGAATGAGATAATCACCAAATGTTAACAGTGGCTTCTTTGAGGAACTTTATTTTTAAAGTAATAATGTGTTTGAGACTGCTTGTTATATGCTTATTGATTGGATCTATGACCACCCTTAAAGTGTGTGATGTAAGTAAAAGTTAAAGTGGCTTGAATAAGACAGTTGTGTGCTTAAGTACTGTAAAAACCTAACATGTTCTTTTTGAATTGGAAAGCAACTTTTTTTTTCTCTCCCCCTTTTTTCTTTTAAACAGCAGTTCTGTGGTGTTCTTGGTCACACATTTATGGAGTTTCTGAAGGGCAGTGGAGATTACTGCCAGGCACAGCACGACCTCTATGCAGACAAGTGAACTGTAGAAATTCATTACTACTCCACCAAGAAGCCCCCATAAGAGCAGTTAACCTGGACACAGAAGTGTTGAATTGAAATCTGCAGAGCAATTTTTAAGAGTTCTGACCTGGATGGGGTAAACCTCAGTGCACTTCCTTTCTGTTGCCTCAGTATTACTGGATTGAAGAATTGCTGCTGCTTGTTAGGTTCATTTCATTTTCCATTACTCCCAACATCATACTCTCAAAGCACTGAGAATTTCAAGTGGAGTATTTTGAAGTAGACTTCAGTTTCTTTACATCATTTCTGTATTCACTTTTTAAAATTCTTTCATAACCCTATTGAGTGTTTTTTAACTAAATTAATATGGCTCGAATGAACCGCCCAGCTCCTGTGGAAGTCACATACAAGAACATGAGATTTCTTATTACACACAATCCAACCAATGCGACCTTAAACAAATTTATAGAGGTAAGGTTTGATGCTTTTACTCTCTTAAATCGGTTGCAGTTTAATAGTGGGATTTGTATCTAGGGAAGTAACTATTACTTTGGAAAATTTAAGATGGTGTACATACAGTGCCATTTCCCAAAAACAAAATATTAATATCTTTAGGTTAAAGGTGTAAGTTATTTAATAAATTTTGAGGCTGTGTACTTGAGTTTAGTTTGGATTTATATGTTAATGTCTAGTTTTTCATGCTCCTGAGTTTACATAATTTAAATTTTTGTAGGCACACAGTGTAACAGTGTGGCTAACATTTATAAGAAATTTATACAGGTGAAAGCTACTGTCTTAGTTATCTAGTGATGCTATAACAGAAATATCCCAAGTAGGTGGCTTTAACAATCAGAAATTTATTTTCTCACAGTTTAGGAGTCTAGAAGTCCAAATTCAGGGCTCTGGCTCTAGGGGAAGGCTTTCTCTCTTTCTCTGGCTCTGGGGGAAAGGGAACGTCCTTGTCTGTTTTCAGCTTCTGTTCCTTGGTTCCTGGCTGTCTTCTTGCTGTAAAGCATCTATCTTCCTCCACCTCTGCTTGCTTCTGTGCCAGATCTGCTTGTTTTACATCAAGTTTAAGACACACCCTACACTAGTGATCTCATTAGCATAATGCAGAACTCAATTACCAAACGGCATTACAGCCACAAGTATAAACCAAAACCAAATCCTATGCCATGGAGTCGATTCTGACTCATGGTGACCTATAGGGGTTAACATTTACAGCATATATTTTTGGGGAACACAGTTCAATCCTTAGCAGCTACCATTTATGGATATTTTCATGTATCTGTTTAGCCTAATGCCATAAACCAAAGTTAGTATGTATCTTGGACCCTATTTGATGTTTAGAGTCCAATTTCAGCTGTTAATTCTGCTTCCTGTTGGTAGCTAGCTAGCCAAAAATGTCTTACTCGTTTGGCTATGAGGAAGGATTATAACAAAATAATTTATTTGGACACCTACACATTTTATTTTATAAATATTTATCAAATCCGTTGCCAGTTCCAACTCAGTGATCCTATAGGACTGAGTAGAACTCTGCCCCATAGGGTTTCCAGGGAAGGCTGTAATCTTTACGGAAGCAAGCAGACTGCCACATCTTTTTCAGCCAAACAGCTGTTGGGTTCAAACCACTGACCTTAAGTTAGCAGCTAAACATTTAACTGCTGTGCCACCAGGACTTCTTCATAAGTATCTACATAGTCACAAATAGACCTCTTCCTGTCAGAGGGAAGTACTTTAATGGTATTTTTATTTTTAATTACCATCTATCATGAATGATTCCTTTGGTTTTATTTACCTTCGTCTTTCTGTTATTCCTTACCCCACTTTTGTTAGTATATCATCCCCTCCTATCCAGTGTTAGCATGGCTATAAACAACTTTCAGGATATGAAGGGCAATGGGATTTTATTTAAAAAACAAAAACAAAAATTTGTAGGTGGTATTTATAACATTCCCTATTTTGCTATTCTAGTATTGTAATTTAAAATGAGATTTTGCTTCCATGTTAAACATACATAGGTTATAATCACTCTCCATGATTTTCAGTTAGCCAGCAGTACTTACTAGAGAGATGATCAAAATGGTAGATAGTGATGCAGTTATGAAAACTTTATTAAGTATTCTTTTATATATATATTTTGTCTAGGAACTTAAGAAATATGGAGTTACCACAATAGTAAGAGTATGTGAAGCAACTTACGACACTGCTCTTGTGGAAAAAGAAGGCATCCATGTTCTTGTAAGTATTTAACATTTTCTGTGTTTCTGATAACTGATAAACAAAAGTTTATTCAAATAAACCACAGTCCTCAAAACGTTTTCTTTTTTAAATCATAAAATTATAAAATGGTATAGTGTCTTAATTTCCAAATAAAGGTGAAAGCTGAGCACAGATTTTGAGTAATTAAAGATCTTTGTATTCAATACTTGGTTGTACAGTAAAACCTATGACAGCCAGAACCTCTGTAAGGCAGAAACCTCTCAGAGAAGGAAAACTCAAAATATTTTTCACTAAAACGAGCGATAGAGAAGTGGTGAGACTGTACCCTGTTGAAGGCGGAAAAATTTTGAGACCCGGAAAAACAAGGTAGCCCCGGCTCTCGCAGGTTTCACTGTATTTCATTAACAGTGGAGTTTAATTAAACATGGGTAAGCATGTTAAAATGAAAATACTTTTTTTTAAAGACTTATATTTGGGTGTTAGAAATTTAAAATGGTTAGCATGGTATCAAAGATTTAAAATATTTGCTCTTTCGATTTAGGATTGGCCTTTTGATGATGGTGCACCACCATCCAACCAGATTGTTGATGACTGGTTAAGTCTTGTAAAAATTAAGTTTCGTGAAGAACCTGGTTGTTGTATTGCTGTTCATTGTGTTGCGGGTCTTGGGAGGTAAGAGAATTTCTTAAATCCATTTAGTGGTAGTGATTTTTACTCTAGTAAAGGTTCATTTATCCTTTTGTGAATCCATTTACTTTGTTAGGTTACTTATTGTACTAAATAAAAAAGTAGGTGAATGTAATAAAAAGGAATGATGTATTCCAATACAACGGGAAGTAACACGCTATGGCTGCAATTTCCAGTTTGTCTATGGGCAAAATTGCTGTGGAATTAATCTTGTGTGCTAGGTGGTATCAGTGGTATTAGAATCCTTGTCCAGGCTCACTTGGAAAAAGGACTGAGTTGTCTAAAAGGTGGCCTGCATTGCATTTATTGGTGTACTTTTGAATATAGCATTCTTGATACTGGTGATTCTGATTCAGTAGGAACTCATTACACAGTACTGTCCAGACTTCTTATAACGACCCCCCAGGCCATTTCTCCTGCCCCACCCCTAGCTCTATTCTAGTGGGAAGAGTGAAATGAAAAGCATTGATCTGGGGATTGGCATTCTGTATTTGTGTCACAATCCTTTATGTAATAAAACCTAGAAGAGTAAGCAGACTTTTCTAAGAGTTTTTTTTAAGTAGAAAATATTTTTTACTGCTTGGAAATTTGAAAGAATTGTCTGCATTTATGAAGATTTACTTCCTCCCCTGCATTTTTTCAAGGTGCCCTTCCAAGAATACAAATCTTAACATTTAGGCTCCCTTAATAATAGTAAGGTCATGGTTTATTTTTTGTTTTAGATAAAAATCTGGGTTTGATATGAAGGTACTGATTCTTTATAAATTTAATTTTTTAACATACGATCAATACTTACTACAGGTATTACTTAGGAAGTATGGTAGATACCAATACCTCTAGATAGGGGAATGGTTGGAATAATGAATTTTCTAGGATTTAATGGAAAAAATGATTTTTATCAAAATTCTTACTTCACTAGAGCTCCAGTGCTTGTTGCCCTAGCATTAATTGAAGGTGGAATGAAATATGAAGATGCAGTACAGTTCATAAGACAGTAAGTATTTAATGGATCCTTCTTTTCATGCACAGTCTCTTATTTTACCATTAAATGTGAGTGCATCATTACATTACTAAGAAAACAGTTTTTTTTCTAATAGCACATGTGACCATTGTGGAAAACTTTTAAGATAGTATTGAAACCACAAAATAAAGATTTTTCTCTCTTGCATCCCACGCAGATGCTCATATTACAGTTTCAAATTCAGCACACTAACAACAGACTAACAAACTAATTCTTTAGTGCTTTTTAAGTTCTTGATTGAATATGTGTTACTGTTTACTTGCATAGGTCTCACATTTAGATGAGTTAACCGTAATACCCAAATTGCAACCACCCAACACAAGATACACATTTTCATCACTTCAGAAAGTGCCCTTCTCCCCTTTTGTAGTCCACTCTTCTGCCACCAGAGGTAACCTTTTTCTGACTACTGTCACCGTACATTAGTTTCGTATTCTCTTTGATTCATGGATTTTGACCATTGTAGCCACCACTCTAAGAAAGGTACAGAAAATCCTTTTTGGTATCTTTTGCCACTTAACACATGTAGGCCTGTCCATGTTCCTTTCTGCACTAAGTTATATAGCCTAATAATCAAAAGATAAATTCTCCCAAGAGAGATAATTGTCCGTATCACAGTAAACATAATAGATTTTACTTTAATTGCACATTCTTTCCCTCCACCCCTTTCTCCTTCTAGAAAGCGGCGTGGAGCTTTTAACAGCAAGCAACTTTTGTATTTGGAGAAGTATCGTCCTAAAATGCGGCTGCGCTTCAAAGAGTCCAATGGTCATAGAAACAACTGTTGCATTCAATAAAACCGGTGCCTGATGGTATTGCTTTGGAAGTGGAACTTGAGACAGGACCGAATTTGTCGTGCATATTTACCAACATGTTAATTTGGTGGATAAGTCTAATAAAGCTTCCATACGAGTATTGAAAACCAGTTTTACCAGGCTACAAGCTTGAAAGAATTGCAACCTCCGTGTTTGGGTTACGATCAACCTATCTGGATACTTAGCAAAGGTTTCTTACTGTTCAGCATTTAAAATGTGCTTATCATTTGTACCAATTGACCTTTCCTGAAATCATGCAGTATTGTTATGTCTTCTTTAAATCTATTCCCATGCCAGAATCTTATCAATATATAAGAAATTTAGAGAGATTAGGTGCCAAAATACCCAGCACAATACTTGTATATTTTTAGTATCATACAGAACTAAAAAATCCCAGGAACTATGAACACTCTAGACCTTATGTGGTTTATTCCTTCAGTCATTTCAAACATTGAAAGTAGGATCTGTCATTTTTTGCCTGTTCACTTTTTGTTTACATCTCCCACATTCGTATCAGTATACATCAGGTTTGCACAACCATTGATTTTTGTTGGATTTTTACCAGGTCTTACAGTGATTGTTTAATGTCTTTATACAAATCTCATTTTGTGCTTTTATGGAAAACCATTTTGAAAAATCTACATTGTACAGAAGCACATGTCTTTAATGTCTCCAGACAAAGAAAAAAAAAAGCCTTAGAGTTAATTTAATGTTTGCACTTTGGGGTGCAACTTAACAGGGAGGGCCTGAAAAAAAGAATGGGAGGGGGCTATTAAATATTTTTAGTAAAATGTTGCCTTTGTCTTGTGCAGAACATGTAGAATATGCTCTTTAATTTAGTAAATATTTTTTTAAAAGGTAGAGATGCTTTGTTATTGTAGCTAAAACGATTCTTAATCATAAAATTTCTGAAATTCTTGTCATTTTTTTTCCATATCAATTTGAAGTTGTTTACCAACTTTTGTTTGAAGTGTGATTTTTTTCCCCCTTCTCTTTCCAACCTGTCTTGCAAAAAACGTAGGTTTCTGCTACTGAATTGAGCAGACTCTAATTTTTATATGCCTTTTGAGCTGTGTAACTTAATATTTGGATACTTGATAATTTGTTTTATTATATAATTGATAAAATGGTGATGTGTATTAATGTTAGTTCAACCATATATTTATACTGTCTGGGAATGTGTGGTTATAGTTCTGTGGGAGAAATAATTTGTCAGTGTTCACCAGCTTGTAAAAACCTAGTTGCGAGAGCTTAAACATCTAAATAAATGATGAAATGCATTTATCGAGATTGTTGTGCTTAAGGTTTACAACTTATTTTGTGAATGATTCTACTTAACTCCATTTGAAGTTAAATGCGTCCTCATTTTATAAATGTTGGATTATATGAAGTCAGCATTTTGGTAAGCTTGTAAACATTTTGTGAGAGTTGTGAGAACTGTAATACTAAAAGTGCTCTCATTATAAACTTCCTTTTTGATTAAAAGGTCTAGGTAATTTTGTACTAATTTTTTATTCTGTACTGAGGAGAAGCAGTGTTTATATAGTAGAGGAAGATCTGATTTGAAGATCAGTTTCACCAATTATTAGCAGTTTTAGGCAGCTTGACTTCTGAGCCTCAGTTTATTAGCAAACTGATAATTACGTATCTTTATAGATTGAAAATGAATTTGAATTTTAAGTATCTGTCACATGAGAGCTTAATAAGTATTGTTTTACTGTTAGGTCCCATCAAGTTGGTTCCAGCTTATAGCGACCACATGTACAACAGAACAAAACACTGTCCAGTCCTCTTGTTATGTTTTTTTCAGCCACTGTGTCAGTCAATCTCATCAAGGTCTTCATCTTTTTCACTGACTCTCTACCAAGCATGATGTCCTTCTCCAGGGACTGGTCCCCCTGATAACGTGTCCAAAGTACGTGAAACAAAGTCTCACCATCTGTGCTTCTAAGGAGCATTCTGGCTGTACTTCTTCCAAGACAGATTTGCTTGTTCTTTGGCAGTCCATGGTATAGTCAATATCCTTCCCTAACACCATAATTCAAAGGCATCAATTCTTCGGTCTTCCTTACTCATTGTCCAGCTTTTGCATGCATATGAGGTGATTGAAAATACCATGGCTTGGGTCAGGTGCACCTTAGTCCTCGAGATGAGTACTTTTTTAACACTTGAAAGAGGTCTTTTGCAGGAGATGTGCCCAGTTCATTAAGTTGTTTGATTTCTTGACTGCTGCTTCCACGAGCACTGACTGTGGATCCAAATAAAATGAAATCCTTGACAACTTCAGTCTTTTCTGTGCTTCTCATGATGTTGCTTATTGGTCCAGTTGTGAGGATTTTTGCAACCCACACTGAAGGCTGTAGTCTTTGATCTTCATCAGTGTTTCAAGTCCTCTTTGTTTTCAGCAGAAAAACGTTGTGTCATCTGCATATCACAGGTTGTTAATGAGTCTCCAATCCTGATACTGCGTTCTTCATATAATCCAGCTCAGCATATAGATTAAGTGTGATGAAAGAACCCTGTAATTACCTTTAACATAATTTTACATGCATATATTCAATAACTTCAGCATTCCATTGGAATTCCTTCCTTTGCGTAGTTAAACGTTAATAAAAAAGGAACAAATGTCCTCTTTTTTTTTTTTAATAGCAAATACAAATGTAACGACTCAAAATTTGAGTAAAAAGTGATTACCTGTCTTGTGTTCAATGAACTGGTTTCTGTCTCTTCATGCCAGTTTAACACTTAATATACTCCATTCTGGAAACTTAGGGCAAAATGGAGGGGGGAACAAGGTCATCTGGAGGCCTTTTTAGTTCTTTAAATCTCAGCTCTTTTGTGATTGGGGCTAGTCAGTGATTTGATTCTGTTTTTTAAAAAATACAACCTCTTGAGAAAATATGGTGTAATTGGTTACTAAATTATATACTATGACCACACAGCCCCTAAAATGGCACCTCTTAGTAAATGCAAATGCTATCATGATTAAGGAAAAATGTGTGTTTGAAAAATTAGTTTGCAGTGTTGGATGGTATATATGGTGCTAAAATAATTCATTTTATAAACCTTATATGTACGTATAGTATATAACATGATGAAATTTGCTTTTTATCCAAGTATTTTGTATGTTGTTAATATGTCTATAATCCGAGTAGAGTCTATGTATCTAATAAGAATTTATGAGTTCAATACAAAAAGTTATCAGATGGTGTTCTCAAATTTGATTACTTGGTTTTGGATCACAATTTTCTTCAAATGGATGATGTAAATAGTTGACTAGTTTGCTAGATTTTCCTACAGGAACCATAATGTTGGTGACATGTAAGGTGATTTTTGGATTTTGGATCATAAACAAGAAAATGCAGCCTCCTCTTACTTGTAGGAAAAGCCTAGGAATAGGTGCCATTGCTCATGTTGCAGCACACGACAACATTTACTATTATTCCTCAATTCTAGCCCTTTTTCTAGACGGGGCAGTGCTCTCCTATTCCCACAACTCCATGCTTAGAAGCATCCAGCCCAGCTATGTCATCACATCTCCCTTCCAGTGCTCTACTTCAAAAGTACATACCCTGTAGTTCCCCAGCTTTGCTGCAGAAACTCAATTTCTGGATTTATTTTAAAATGCCATTCTGTTCATTTAATAAGATAACCAGGCACGTCAGAGTATGGTGGAGAACATAAAAGATGGCATCATCAGATTTTGGTCAGCAATAAGTATATCACTTTTTAACATAAAAGAGAATTCTTTCTGTTGGAGTTTTAGGCAATGTAGTTTGATGGAAATACTTTAAAGGGAAGTGGGAGCATAAATTTTTTTTTACATGTAGACAATTTTTTTGAAGTACAGTTTTGAAAAAAATACATGAAGTAGTGTTTACCCTACATGTTTATAGTATACATTCCCTGATTCTTTGAATAAATATGTGAGTGTGTGTGTATATATATGCCTCCTTACACCTGAATTGAAAATTAAAGTCTGGTTTAAAAGTATCTGACACAATGTTTCTGCATTATATTTGGGGCAGCTAGTCTAAAGTAGGCATAAATACAATCTTGGAAAGAAAACAAGGGAAAATATATTTACATTTGATGAATTAAGCCAGTTACATGCATTAGGTTATGAAAGGATTGACCATAATTCTATAATATGATATAAATTGCCAGACTAGCCAGTTGGTTAACTACCGTTACTAAGGATTTTATTGTCATTCCCTTACAATAATCTCATACTAGTCCCAGTTTTATACATATGGAATTTGAGCCTCCAGTTAGGTGACTGATAAGTGGTATTACTCTGGGGTTCAAATCTATGTGGTTACACTACATGGCTTCTATAAATATGTATGCCTGACCATTTTGTAGGCAACCGATTGTTAAACTTTATGTGAGTTTTTCTTGGTTACTAAAAGACTCAATTTCCTTAAAAACAAAGTACTTTTTCTAGGAGCCCTGGTGGCACAAAGTTCAGCAGATCAGTGGTTCGAACCAACCAGCTGCTCTGCCGGAGAAAAAACCTGGTTATCTGCTCCTGTAAACATTACAGCCTAGGAAGTCCTATGGGGCAGTTCTACTCTGTTCTGTAGGGTTGGAATTGACTCGACGGCACACAACACAACACCACGTATAAACCATTATTTGTAATTTTCTCCATTTAAATTGAACCCTTTTCTATTTTTGAAGTATGTCAGGATTAAGTTATGCTGTAGGAACAAAGGAGTCTGAAATTCTCCGTGACTTATGTCCATCACAGGGACCCAGGCTGATAGAGGATCTACTCTTTGAAACAGTACTAGATGTGACAAGGAAAAAAGGGCTTTGGAGTGTCTCACATGATAAATGCTTGGCCAAGAAGTCACCTGTGTCACAGTCAATGGACAGAACCGGTCACAGCCCCACCCAACACAAATGCAATCCTATCATGTGCTGGAAGCCAGAAAAGAAAGAGCATTAATTGCTACCACATAAGGGTTTTTTCAAAGTGGGTTTATTTTTAAAGAGTACATCCACAATAACACTCTACATAGCTGAAATACTGAGCATAAAGGGATAAAAGTTGCCAAGCAGCAAAAATAAGATGTGATGAGGTTCAGACACTAAGGCTTGTAAAAGGTGCTTAGAAGAGAATCGTAGATTTAGATGTGACTTTAGCTAGCTTTGGAGTCCTGGTGGTGCAGTGGTTAAGCATTTGCCTGCTAACCAAAAGGTCCACAGTTCGCATCCACCAGCCACTCCTTGGAAACCCTATGGGGCAGTTCTGCTCTGTCCTGTAGGGTTGCTATGTGTTGGAATCAACTCGATGACAATGGGTTTGGTTTGGTTTGGTTTTAGCTAGCTTTGGTAATTCTTTTTTTTTTTTTGCCACATTACCTCTCATTGCCGTTGAGTCGATTTGCCACATTGGAGGTGGTAAATAAGATGCAGAGCAAGAGGGAGAGAAGCACATGGGTAGCAGTAAAATACACCTATAAGCCTGATATTGAGAGATGAACTAAAAAAATTAAACTGACTTCAAAAATCACAGCCATTTCTCAATTCTGTGACTAACAACTTTAGGCTGGGGACATTAGTGATTCACAGACAGCACAGTGCATTTATAGATATGTATGATGATTACTCTTAGTCATCAAGAATGGGTTGAATTTGGCTTGGTACATTTTAAGGCAAGGAATTTTATAATCCAGTGTTTCCAAAGAATGTTCTTAGGTGTATTAGAAAAATGGTGCCATGAATAAATGTCTTACAAACACCAAGCTATATATACTTACAAAACCAAACCCATTGCCATCAAGTTGATTCTGATTCATAGCAGCTATATGCTTAGACATTACATTATTCACTCTTTAATATATGTCTTAGTTATCTAGTGCTGTTATAACAAATACCACAATGAGTGACTTTAAGGAACAGAAGTTTATTTTCTCACAGTTTAGGAGGCTAGAAGTCCAAATTTAGTGCGCCAGCTCTAGAGGGCCTTCTCTCTTGGCTCTAGGGGAAGATCCTTGTCTCTTTTCAGCTTCTGCTCCTTATTTCCTTGGTGATTTTCATGTGGCCTGGCATCTGTCTTCCCCCATCTCTGCATGTGCTTCCTCTCTTGCTTGCTTAATCTGCTCTTTCATATCTCAAAAAAAAAACTGACTTAAAACACACCCTACGCTAATGTTGTCTAAACAACATAACAAAGGAAACCCATTCCTAAATGGGATTATAACTACAAGTATAGGGGTTAGGGATTTACAACATATTTTGGGGGGACAACAATCCATAACAATATGCTAAT